TGTCCAAAATATCAGACAATAATTCACTCACGAATCTGGAGAATATGACAGGCAGGTAAGTACACCACAGGGCATTACTATGCATTCAAATTTGTTACATCAGCTGTCAAAAGCTGATAAATATCCATGTTCCCCTTTCATTCAAATGGCTTTGTAAATTCTTTCAATTTAATGAAAATGCATCTATATGAGAAGGAGTGGCAGAATGTGGGAGCAGAGTTAAAAGAGGGATCAACCTAGAATCCCTACGTAGCCACAAGCAAACTACATCCAATCTCTCCTGAATTCCATTGACCTTTATCTAACTCCAAGCAGGTATTAACTGTTAATTGAGAAGATTCTTGTGTGTAGGCATGATTAGCAATAAATCAGTTTAATTGGGCCTTCATGTGTGGACCTTATCTTTTGCACCTGACAGCATCCTTTCTGAGGTGATCCAGCAAAAAAATGATGGGTACTGGGCCCTAATAATCACAGAGTTTAGAAGTCCATCATGAATAATTCTCATAGAAAAATAATCTTTTTAATAAAAAATGTACAGGTGCAAAAAAAAATAATATTTTTTTCAGACTGATACAGAAATTATTTTAAAGTAGCTAATTTCTGAATAGTCATAGAATATTGCCTTTTGAGTGGGATACAGGGATCCAAGTACACACATCACACCCACTCAAGATACGTATCCAGATACAAACCTTGTGTTCTAAGCAGAAATGCTGGAAAAACAGAGAAGACTCAGGACCTTCCTTTTCATTCTAACAATCTGCTTTATATTTCTGGGCTCCTGGCTGCCATTTGGCAGAATGAGAACCAAACAACCTTGATCAAAATTTCTGAAAAGAAAGCCACATGATTTCCCTGGGTTTCTCAACCTTGCTTCAGACAGTTAGGTTCACACTGCCATTTGTAGACATGTTTGGCTATTGGGAAGTACACATTTTTCTGGAGACTGTTCCCAATGCAATCAATCTTTCCAATTGCTTTCACAACTGAACTGATAGATGAGGTTACAGGGACACCTCCTGTGACGGGCTTCCTAAGCAGTCTCCAAGAGCCACAAGTATTAAGCCAGAGGATCTAGTATTAAAAAAATAATGTATAATATCAGATTTGTATTAAAAGGAGCTTCCAAAGCCATGATTCTCGAGATGTGTTCCCCTGCTTAATGGGAAACAGCAATTCTTGGTGCCAAAACAAAACCCAAGAAAAACAAATAGTTTAAAAGATGTCCAAACAATAATCTATATCACATGGGTTTCATTTCAGAAGGGCAAACACATTGCAGTTTTCTTCAACAACATTCAGCAAACCAAAATTCCTGGAAACATTTAAAACCTGAACAAGTAAGATAAGGAACACTTAATAAAGCTATGATGGTAGACGGTTTCATACTGAACAGCAATTTCTATGCTTCTAAAATTACCTATGTAAAGCATTGTTAAGAAATATGTATTTTGAAATAGCACTGGCTAGAGGCGTGACTAAAAGCATGGAAAAGAACAATTAGCAACAATGTTTAGATAGCTTTTCATTAACCTGTATGTTTTTTTCAGTGAACAAATATGATTTTATTTGGGAGATACTGCAATATTCATGCTATCATTTTATCTAATGTATCTTGGGCAATGTACTAAAAACCCATAGCTGTTCATAAATTAAACAACATAAGAATCTTGTCTTGGGACATAATCTCCAAATCATTAGCCAGCCTGCAAAATTTTCAGACTGCAGAAGTTCTTTCTCGAGATTGGATAGAGATTTGAAGATTATTTTTAATAGAGTTTTCTATAGGAAACAATTACTCCATCTTTTGGAACTAAAAAGTTGGAAAGTCCTTTGATATCAGATTTGTCTATGCTTCATTTATTGATACAGTTTATGAAGAATAATATATAATATTCCCACATTCTAGATTCTGTTTGGGAGCTATCACTATACTGAAGCTGTGAAATTAAAGAAAACAGTTACATAGCATCTTTGATGCAACAAAATAAAAACTCCAGGAAACTATCAAAAAGCAAAATGGTTTAATTTGGAATCAATGTTTAAAAAACTAAAGAAATCATTGCTATGTCTTTTAAAAATGACTTTAAAATGCAGAGATGATAAGTCTTATGATATCTTAATAATCCTCACATGGTTTTTGATATAAACTTTTCTGTACAAGGAAAGATCTAGGAACATTTTGTTATGAAAATAAACATCCTCTAGGTCAGATGGGCACCATACAAGTCAAATAAATAAATAAAAATACTTAGAAATAGAATTTACAATATTCTGTACATTTTAACAAGAGCATTTACATACAATAATTTTGATTTTTATAGTGACCAATTACCACTGGGTTCTTAATGTCTGCCAATCTGCCTCCTACCATCACCACACTCACCTTATCACACCCCAAATCCTCATACACTCTCACTGTGGGTGAACAAGGGAGCAAACTCTATAGCTCTCACCACTGACTAGGGCAATAAGGAAGGTTACCATTGCACTTCTCTACTTTCCTCCCAGAGGGAATTTAGGTGCTTCTGCTTGACTCCATTCCACATAATCCACTCCAGCTACAGCTAAAGTCTTTCCCCATCTACTTCCAGGTTTTTGTGGGGTTTTTTGATGCTACACATTGACATAAGATAGCAAAGATGGTATATGATCCTGTCCCCTTCAGTCCCCCTTGCCACAGGGGCAAGATGGCTGCTGCTCAGAATGATCGGCTCCATGGCAGCTGTAAAACTCAGGTCAACCTCCAACTGAACTATCAGTCTGATTGCTCTTCTGCTGCCACTCACATTTGGCACCTGGGTCCCCAGGTCTTCTGCAACACTTCCCTGGGTCATCACCACTCCTGCAGCTGAGCAGGACATCACAGCTCCCCACCCTTAAAAGCTGTCAGTTGCAGTCAAGTCATTATTGCCACTGCAGCCAGATCAAAGATTTTCACTGGCTCCACTGCAGCCAAAATACAGCTAAACTCCATGAGATGATTGGTAGAGTCTCTGCTTAGTGTTAAGCATCTCTACTCCCCTAAACTACTTACTGATTGGTTATTGTTGTTGAGCTATCACTATGCTACCAGTTCCTCAGTCAGTTTGATCCACACCATCTTGTCTGGCTTTGGCGTCTTTCTTGGTTGCTGATCCATCTGATTCTGTCCAATCATTCTGGAACCCCTCAATGTTGTTATCCTAGACTCACTAATCCATAACTGTGGCTCTATGGAAAGCTATCTAAGCAGTAGTTGCAACAAAGAGAAATTAACTCTGTCCTGCCAGAACAGCAAATGTTCCCTCCAATAGCTGCTGGAGCCTCTCTCCATGTCTGCCAGTGGTACAAACAGATGTTGAGACCATCTATATCCACTCAAGTGATTAGACTGCTCCTACAACATGCTTCAACCACAAACTCCCTTAGGCTGACACCATCCCTATTCTATCCTGACACTGTTATGAAAAAGAAAGTTCCTTTTGAGCAGGTCAGATCATTGTTGTACTATTTCTCCAGGTAGCTAAAAAAATCTGAACAAGAATTTGCAAGGACAGCCAAGGGGTTAATATAGATTTTATTTACAATAATGCAACATTTCCATCCAAGAAGTAATGGGTAGAAACTTGTTAAAGAGAGATCTAACCTAGAAATAAGGTAAATTTTCTGACAGCGAGAACAATCAATGGAATAGCTTGTCTCCCAGAGTGCTCCATCTCTGGAGGTTTTCAAAAATAGATTGGACAATCATTTGACAGGAGTGATATAAGGTTTCCTCCCTTGAGCAGGGGGTTGGACTAGGAGACCTCCAAGGTACCTTCAGCCCTATGATTTTATGTTTACATATTCATGCATGCACTACAGGTGTTTTTTTTTATGGCATTAGTGTCATTCCATTGGAAAAGGTATTTTGATCCAGGTCAAAAAGACTGTGGCATCACACATACTCCCATGGCTTGTTTCAGATCACTGTCAGCCTTCTGTAGGCTGCTGAGGTTCTTAACTGGAGCCAAAGTTCATTTTGGTTGCAAATCAAAATTGTGTTGAATATTGAGGCATTAATGTTTATATATCTGGGACTACAAATATTGACAGTGCTATCTGCAGAATCGAAAATGTTGGTGCCAAGAAAAGCTGCACCATAATTTCTTTAGAGAAAGGACAAGCAACGCATTCCAGTCATAGAAAAACATCCTGATCCTGAAAATAAGCGGAAACTCTGAGTATCCTGATTGCAAAGCTCGTTTTCATTCTCCGATCCTTGGACTGTTGCCCGAAGACGCCCGCTAATGCCCCTCCCTCCCGCGACTGAAACACAAGTAACCTTTCCAGCCAATTGCTTCCCCCTCCCCCGATTAAAATACAACTCTCCTCAGCTCCCCAAATGGGAACTGTAGTCCCAGTATATCAAGGAAAGAAGCATTCTGTTTGGTCTGTTTTTTTCTGTCGGAAAGCAAAATAAAATAATCAGATCGTGAAAAAAACCAGCAAAACACTTGTCGACTCTCGTCCCTTCCAGTGCCTCACAGCTGTCTCTTTCGAAGAAAAGGAACTTACAAACTGAAATCCTTTGATTGAAACTTTTGATTTACTGTATTAGAATGACCGAGGTGGGTGGGTGGGGGGGGGAAGGAGGAGGAGAAGTCCTGCCGCCAAACTATGCGCCAACTGAATATTAATTATCTCCCAGAAGTCGCAGTTTCAATATTAGCAAAGTTTGGCTTATCTCTTTTAGTGTCCTAGCCGGAAAGGATACTATGAAGAATTGGTACCCAGCAGTTTAGGGAAAGCTGAAGTGGATCACTTGCATTCTTGTCACATGATCCGGCCACTTAGAAAAACAAAATGCCTTACTCTGATCACTCAAGGCGCTCTCAGCTGTAAAATATATACAGTTGCAAAGCTAATTACAAACGCAGACTGTCGGCTGTTTTCCCATCTACGTAATTTTCGTGCAAGCACGCTAAAGACCATTAACACCCTAATGCTTCTGTCTGCAAAACTACACTTCCCAGGCGGCAGAAGAGTGGAGCGCATGCGCGTCTCCTGTCGCCAGCATGGCTACGGTGCTGTCACGGGCGCTGAAGCTGCCAGGTAGGGGTCTTGACTTGCAGCGCGCCAAACGCTGGTGGGAAATGCGGAGTGGGCAGGATGAGGATGACATCTCTGGAGTATGCAGGGCTGGGGCGTTTGAGACTCAGATTTCTCAGTCCGAGAGAGCATCCGGGTTCCATCTGGAGAATAGACCCACCAACCTCCTCCCTTTATCTCTGACCATGATAGCGAAAAAGAAAGATGAATGGGTTGAAAGAAAAAGGATAATTATTATAGGAGCGGAGAGGCGAATGAGATAAATCTTGGCTATCTTTGTTAAGCGTTTGTGGATGCGCAATACAGGTGCACAGACGACCCAGTTCTTTTGTGGGGAGGAAGGGTTAAACGTTGCTGACCTTGATGGCAAAAGAAACTGAGGCAGTGCTGGTCCCAGGGAAAGTGATGGGGTGAAGCTTTGAGATAGAGGAATGAACAGGTATTGTTTTACTGTTGCAACAGAGATGGAAAAATAGGTCTGCCTGTTTGTGCAATCTTTGTTCCCAAGAGCAGTTTGGATCAATATATTGCTAGCCAGCATTTTTGCAAATATTTACATTTCACTAAGAATAACTTGTTTTGGAAGTTAAGAAATTATTTGAGAACTTGACAGATAGTGATAATGGGAGCCAGATACTTTTTTAGCTATGATACTATGTTGCAGTCATCTTCAGCTTCATTCATGGAATTTTCAGGGGGTTTAAATAATGCTTTTGGATTTGGAATACTTTGTTTTGTTTCTTAGCAGAAAAGGGGAGAATAAATAATACAATCCTTGTTTATTGGATGTGGTAGCAGCTGTCCATTTGTAATCTGCCCAGCTGTTAGGTGAAAGTGCTGGGAAGGTTGTGGTTGAGTTAACTGGGTTTTTGTCATCTCTTTAATTATAGTTATATCTCCTGAAGTTTAAAGTCTTATTTTAAGGTTTTCATGGTTGAGTGAGGTTGCACATCAAGCTGTGTACCAAGCTCAATGAATAATAACTTTCTTGTACAGCTTGGCTTATCTTGTCCAGGATTTTCTATTGGGCTATTCTTAATCTTAAGACTTAAGTCATTTAAGTGAGATGGATGATACAGGAATATGATGAAAAAACATGTTTGTCTTTTTTTTACATTTTAATAGGTTTAAAGGCTGTAACCTTGTGTAAAGATGCAGAGAAACATATTTAGAGAGAATTGAACAGTAAGAATTGTGAGCTGTGCTCTCTTCAGTGAATTGGGAAATTCTGGAAAAATAATTGGAAAAATTCCAGTTAAATGCAGATTGAATGAGTGCATTATGGCACATAATTTGATTTGGTGAGTTAGAGCCCGAAAAATTCAGATAGAAATGAGAAAGTACATCTAAGAAGCTTTTTCTTTTGATAGTTAACATCTTGCTATTAGCTAAAACTTTGGAATATTCATCTAGCTCCTGTGGTTGTAACTAGCAAAAGTAAATCAAGTATCTTATATAAATGTAAAGAGAACAAGTTTGGTGTCATAATTAAAAGTAGGATAGAAACTGAGAGACTGAATTCTAGCCCTGCTTTAGGCATGAAGCCAGCTGGATGACCTTGGGCCAGTCACATACACACAGTCCTGGGAAGGAGACAATAGCAACCACTTCTTAAATCATGTCAAGGAAACTCCAGGAACCTGTCTGGGCAGGTGTGAGGAATTAAGGTTGACTTAATGGCAAACAAAAAAAAATAAATGAGGAGAAAGCCTTGTCCTCTTTTATGCTGGAATTGGATTAATAATGGTGGGCTTCAGATTCTGTATTTCCTTTATCTTATTTACTTTGGCATAGATCTACAAATTCCCAGGAAGAGAAAATCCTGGAGAATTGAGGTAATGCACTTCTGATTGGGAATTCTCTCAGCTGCCTTGGTCATTAGAAAAGTAATCCCTTTTTAAAGCATTTTTTTCTCCTTTCTATCAAATAGAGCCTTTTCTCTGTAATTATTATTATTCCTTTTAAAATGCAGTCATGTAGTATCTATCCCATATTTTCCCTTTTTTCTCCAGGCACTGAGAATATTTAGCTCCAATTGGGTTTGTATAGTATGTTTTACTTTGCATTTGATACTTGATTAGCATAGATTTTGTTACATTTAAAAATGTATTTTAAATCTTACTGCAAAAAAGTAAAGAATTCATGGGGAATGAGGTAGTAAATAAACGGGATAAAATTGAAAACACACAGTGTCCATAACATTTTCAAAGCAGTGGAAATGTGACAGTTCCATAGCTGCCACATAAGTTTCAAAACATTCATGAATCAAAGCAAAGTAGTGAGGCTCCTCCTGCCACAATATCTTAATCCTCAAGTTAACTTAATCTTTTTTTGGTAATAAAGAGGATGCCCAAAGAGGGATATTTGTTTTGCATTAGGCTAACTTTTCACTTAATTTTATTGTAATTAAAAGGATATTTAAGCACAATTTCAGATGAAGAGCTTGATAGGCCACTGAGTGCCATGTAGCACATCGGCATATGTAGGTGCTGATTTATTTATAAATTATTTTTATATGGGTTTATGTGGGTTATGTGAGTGGTGGCTTGGTGATTAAGATGCTGGGCTTGTTGACTGGAAAGCCTGCAGCCCAGGTCTGAGACCTGACTGTGACGCAATGGGGTGAGCTCCCATCCTTGCCCCAGTTCTTAGCAATTCAAAAGCATACAAATGCAAGTAGATAAATAGGTATTACGTTGGTGAGAAGGTAACAGTGCCCTGTGATGTCATGCTGGCCACATGACCACGGAAATCTCTTTGGAGAGCACTGGTTCAATGGCCTTGAAACGGAGATGAGTACCGCCCCCTCTATCGTCAGCAACAACTAGCGGAGTAATCCACAGGTACTCCTTTTTTTACTTGTCAATTTTGCTTTGCCTATCCAAAGCAGGCAAAAGAAATGGACAACTTAGTCTTTTGGTGAAATTGATATGATTGGGTTTGTGTGAGATTCTTTTTAAAAAGTATAGTAATAGAAGGCATGTTTCTTGCAATAGTAAACCATGTTAGATATGGTTCATGCAACCTTAAATTGTGATCTCAAGCATATTTATGGGAAGTAAATCATACTGTTATACATGCTTACTTCCAGATAAGTATGCACTGATAATAGTAGTTTAAAATTCCTTTCTATTTGAGCTGTAAAGTCAAAATGATTTGTTAACCTGTTTTGTGTTTTGAACATTCCTCTAGGAATACTGTGAAAAGTGTTGCTGTGATAACACTAAACAAATATTTTGCTTCCTGAACACATTTATAGATTTTTGGCTATTAATCATGAAAATAACCTGTAATTTAAACTATCACATACCGTTTTATAGAAACCATTTGTTTTTACACAATGGCAACATACAACTTTCAATACCTATTAGTTGTGCTGCACGTAGGAAAGAAATATATGTGGAACTGTTGTTGAAGCACATCCAGTACACCAAGCACAACTGGAATATCTGCAAAGATCTAAAAGTAATAGCTTTGCTGCTTGGACTAAAGCTTGGATATATCAAGTACTGTTACATATGTGATGGGACAGCCGTGCAAGAGAGTGGCATTACATTAAAAGGAAATGATCACAATTATATTTGTGTTCAGTCTGAAAGGGTCTATCAGGAAACAAAAGGGTTTTCGGGAAACAAAACTTTGGTAAAATTTTCTTGTCCACTGTAAGTTTACAGTACTAGACCATAAACAATGATAGGCTACAAAATCAAAGGTTTTTTTAATTATTGTGCTTTGAAAGCAGGTGAGAGAATTTTTTTTAACTGCCTCACCAAAAAGATGGCTAAGGGGACAGAACTTTGGCATATATAGGTTAACTATAAAGGAACAAAATACAGTCATAGCTTCACAGATAATTATTTTCTATTATAGAAATGAAGGCATTAACAGATAATCCATACCCATTTTTTCTTAGAAAAGCTCTGCCTATATTGAAATGGGTGACCAATAAATTTGATAAATAAATAAAAATAAAATAATATAATTCAAAATAATTTTTGAAATATAGGCAGACTTTGTCTTCTGTCCAATAGTGTCATCTCCATGCAGCAAGCATACCCATTACCTTATGTACTAAATTGCCTTCCTTTCTTTTAGATCATTTTTAGTGGTCCTAAAAATGCCACAGGTTCTTTCATCATACATCTCATTTTCCACCTACCTTTTCAGGTAAAAAGAGTCCAGATCTTGGAGAATATGACCCTCTCACTCAGGCTGACAGTGATGAGAGCGAAGATGACTTGGTCCTCAATCTGCAGAAGAATGGTGGAGTTAAAAATGGGAAAAGTCCCCTCGGGGAAATCCAGGATGTGGATTCCGATGTGGAAGCTGGTATAGCCAAGCAGCATCTCTCGGAGGGTATGACAGAAGAGTACCCAAGTGAAATGAACAATGGTTTGGAGCAGAAGACAACCGGTTCCTTGATGCCTTATTTGCGCACTGCCATCTTTTTACTCACTGTGGTTATCTCCATGATCCTTGTGCTGGTGTGTGCTTTCCTCATTCCTTGTCCACCAAGAGACTTACATAATACTTGGATTCACAACCTAGGTCAAGTGGCAGGTAAGAAATATCTGGAAATACACATCTTTGATTATGAAATGTATACCCTACCCAGAAAGATACTGAGAGTTTGGGGAAAAATTATAGATAGCTTTAAGTTTATTTATTTATTTATTAAATTTATATACCGCCCTATCTCCCTTGCGGGACTCAGGGTGGTGAACAGGCGATACTAAAAACCACGATAATAAATAAATAGTTTCTGTTTTAAAATCAAATTAAATAACAGGCCTGTTCTAAAAACACACCCATACAAAAACCCCCCACTGAAACATAATCAAACTACGCCAGGCCGGCCGCACGGAATAGATGGGCCTTCAGGGCTCGGCGAAAAAGGCGCAGGTCCGCAACTGTACGTAGGTCGGGGGGTAGGTCATTCCAGAGGGCAGGAGCTGCCACAGAGAAGGCTCTCCCCTGGGGGTCGCCAGCCGGCATTGTCTGGCCGACGGCACTCTAAGGAGGCCCTCTCTGTGGGAGTGGACTGGTC